CCCCCCCCCCTTCATTTTATTTAAGAAATAATGTCATGGCATCTCTGCGACAATGTATAAGTTAAAATGTTAGTAAATGTAAAAGGTACTCCCTCCATTTCTATGTGAATCCATTTTTTTTTTGGTCCGTTCAAAAAAGAATGACCCATTTCTAAATTTGGAAACAATTTAACTTAAAAATTATAATTTCACCCTTAATGAGAAACTTTAATAACCACACAAATACTTTCAACCTTGATTTTGACTTGTTTAGTACCACAAATTCTAAAAGTATTCATTTTTTCTTAAATTTCGCGCGTAACCAAACAGGCTGACATAAATTGGAATGGAGGGAGCATTTTTTTTAATAAACAAATATAAAAGAGTGTCATATAAAATGAAACAAATGGAGTAATTTTCTTCTTGAATTCACGGTAACGTGTGTATATTTACTTCCAATTTTATTATGTTTAGTGCCACATAGTTACCCAGTTGACATGCAAGCACGACTTTGGGCAATTGATCGATTACAACGCCTTGGAATCTCTTATTATTTTGCGGAAGAATTCAAACAACTGTTAGATCATGTGAGCAGGTAAACAAAAGGAGCAACATAATTCTTTTTTATTTTCTTAATTCACATAATCAAGAGCATAGAATCATCAATTTTGAGCAATTTGTACGACAAGTTTATTTTATTTGTTGAACTTCAGATATTGGAACGAGGAGATTGGAATTTTTGGAGGAAGAAATTCAAACTTTTGTGATGTCGATGATACATGCATGGCTATTAGGTTGCTAAGGCTACACGGATTTGATGTTAGTCCAGGCAAGTCAATGGAAAATGATTACCTTAATTAGTTCTTTTTTTTTCTTTTTTGGTACATGGGAGAAGATTAAATAACTTTTTAAAAGTATTTTTTAAATTGCATGTTTTAAGTATACTAGGAGAAAAAACTCTATTTTTTTGGTCAAACATTAAAATTTTATTTAACCAAGTATATATTTACATCCGCTTGTTCTTTTTGGACTATAAGAACAAGGCCTCTATTTCATATTCTATCTATCACATAGACAGAATTAAACTCTATATCTATCCACTATGACTAGCAAGGAAAGCTATCTAAGCTATTTAGTATCTTCCCCCATCTACTTTGTTGTTGTCCTCAAATGTGTAGTTGGAGTACAATCTCCCTAATGATCTGCTTGGTGTGCTGTTGCTTCTGTTGGAATCTTTGAGCATTGTGTTCCCCCCAAATGTGATATATTGTTTCAGCAAAGAGTCAACCCAACACTTCTGTTCGCACTCTATTGTTGTTCACTTTCCTGGTTATTCACTTAACTTCCTCTGTCCATGTTCTCAATTACATGTGCTCTCCCATCCATTCCAGATAGTAGCAGAGAATGTACAAGCAAAGAAGAGGTGAGCTAAGGTTTCCTCTGTACGAGTGTTACATAATACACACTCCTTAGGAAAATGTACCTTCCATTTTTCTAATCGATCAGATGTAGCTAATCTTTTTTGTACTGCAAGCCAAACAATGAATTGATGTTGTGGTAGCATTGGCTTCATGATCAGACACTTCCACTCTATTTTGTGGTATTGGGGAGGTGAGAGATAGATATACCTTCTTGATACTAAGCTTTCCGCCTTGGACAAATTTCTGCAATTGATGTTGAGGGCCACCACCTAGCAACCACTATCTAGCATCAATTATCTTTCTTACAATCCAGCATGCTTGTTGTGGAGTCTTCATACTACTCAGTTCTTTGCCTTTTGTATAGAAGTTGTGGATCCACTTGACCCAAAGAGTGTCTTTTTTTGATGATACTACCCAAAGCAGCTTACAAATAGCTGCCTTTTTCCATGTGAAGAAATCAATTATGTTTAGAACCCCATTAGAGTTTGGCATACATAATTTTTCCCAAGCCACTAAAGCTCTGTTAGATGCTTGAGCATTCCCATCCCACAAGAAGGTTCTACAAACACTAGTGAATAGTTGTAGCACTTTTTTTGGCAGTAGGAATACTTGAGCCTAGTAAGTTTGCATTTCAAATAGCACACACTTGATTAATTGCACTCTACCACTATATGATAAGAATTTTGTTGACCAGACCTGATTCTGGCTGTCATCCTCTCTACCAGTGGAAGACACTGATGCATATTGATCTTCCGAGAGGATAGAGGTACTCCAAACTATTTAAATGGGATCTCCCCTAATGAAAATTGCTGTCTCAGATAAAATTTGCTCCTTCAGTGCTTGTGAGACTCCAGTTATATACAAGGAACTCTTTTCTTGATTGGCTTTAAGACCTGAGACGTCAGAGAAGTGATTGAATGCTTGAAGCATCAATCTTCTTTCCTTGAGCGCATCTTCTCATACTAACACATCTACGACATATTTGTCACCCGTGACATTCGTTTGCTAGAGAATCTGTATATTTTTCGGCCTCTCACTATTAAATGTGCATAACAGTTGCCTTGTCAGTTTCAAGCAAATTATTACAATTGTGGCGGATCTACATTGAAGCTCATAGGTGCTCAAGCACCCATTGTGTTTACCGAAACTGTATATTTTTATGTTGGAAACTAGTACTAATATACAAAAATATTGACAGAACCCATCATAGAGAGTAGATATTTAGTTAAAGACCGTTGAGCACCCATTATTTAAGAATCTTGAATCCGTCGGTTCAATAATAGTCATAAGAGGGTGATATATCTTATGTCCTTTCTAATTCCTTATATCGCATTTGAACCTTGTTTGATGCTCCATAGCTCTAAGTACCTTAGTAATATTGCAGAATTTTAGCATTTGATGGCTTAATACAATTTCTTATCTGTCACAGATGTGCTAAACAAGTTCAAAGATGGTGATCAATTCTTTTGTCTAAGAGGTGAATTAAACAAGTCACCAACAGCTATGTATAATCTCTATAGATGTTCCCAAGCTTTATTCCCAGGAGAAAAGATTCTTGAGGAGGCAAAGAATTTTACCTACAATTTCTTGCAGCAATGTCTTGCGAACAACCAATCCTCAGACAAATGGGTTATAGCTAAGGACATCCCCGGGGAGGTAAATATGAAAAAGGAATTTAACTTCTGTGCATTGATAATGTAAAATTAGTTTTTACACTAGCATGTTAATTATAGGACAAATGACGTTGTATAGCCGCTCTCAAAATAATAGCCGAATATAT